AATATGTACTTATTGACTTATAAAATGAGAGTTGAATAAAAATTACATTCACGGGAAACTGAATGACTGTTGTCATTTGGATATGGAATGGTACCCAAAAGCTCATGTGTTTGTTGGCTTCATTTGACCAATTTGTACCAGTTTTATTCATAATGATAGATTTAATAGCACTACAAAACTTATTTTATTGTTGTTCTTGATGGAGATTAAGATGCCTTGAATTGGGTAGGGGATTGTGTACTTAGAAAGTAAGAGCACTAAGTAATTTTCTACATTTTCTTTTTCTCTTTAAATTTTTCATTCAAAAGATCTTTTATATTTTATTCAAGAGAACATTTTACTGTTGTAAAATCATGCTATGGTGGTCTAATTGTTCATAGGATCTCCCAAAATAAAGGGATTCTGGAAGGTTTTCATGGAGGATAAACTGCCATCATATGATGCAAACTGTGCTTCTCTGTGATACTGATAATACAATACCATTCAATGCAGCGTATACAATAATGTAAGTTAGTCTAAAAAGTTGAACCTAATTTCTGATATTTCCATTGTTTGAAAATACACATGGAAATAAAACACTATATGCTTACAATGCACCTAGAACTTTTTAATAATCACCTCTTTTTTGGTTTTGGAATCTTTACATTAGTATTTTCTCATTTAGTGCCCTCTTTAACCAGAATCTCATAACTCTTTCATTTTTGTAATAACATTTAATTTACTTATTTTTCATATAGTAGCCCTGCTACAATAGAATATAGCATCTTATATATGATAGGAACTAACAAGGAAAATTTCCTTTAACTCCTTTTTTATATTTTATGGTAAGTAGCAACAGGAAAATGCATTTATAGATCATTTCTAGACAAATTGTGAAGCTAATGACTGACCTGTTTTTGCCTATATGCAGTCTCTTTGTTTTATTAGCAGTGGGCATCATGGTCTGTTAAAGAGGAAAGAAAATCATCATGCTGCGTTTAGTTGCATCCATATATTACATTTCTGTATTTTTTGTTGTATTGTAAAAAAATTTCATAATCAACAATGTTGTGATGTTATAAAACAAATGAAAACAATCAAACAAATTTAAAAAACAAAAAACAAGACATTAAGGCAGAATGTACTTCCAGATCACATCAGGGACAGACAAGATATCCCAGTATCTCAAAGACTGTGACAGGTCATTCAGTAGGATGTGGCCCTGTAAATCAAAGGACGTTCTCTTGAGAGTCCCCCAAAACAGAATTTCTTCTGCCCAAGTACTTAGTGTATGCTCTGTTCCCACAAATGCCCAGACGTTCTTCTATCTGCCTTTGATTTATCAGAAAAGGGTAAAGAGAGACCTAGAATCTGAGAACCAGCTGCTCATATTATGAGGKGRGTGGGGGAYRRAAGARAATGTTCTWAGAAGAYCATGGCCAAGGGCAAGAGGGAGCCAGKGTTGKRCTCAGAAGAGAGCACAGGAAGAGAGGCTCTGAAGAAAGTAAATGGACATGAACCACCACTTACCAGAAGCTGCAGTTAAGACAGAGACCAGAAGATAAAGGTGATGGGTCTCCCCAGCTGGTTCCCTCAGGGGTGAGGGAAGGAAGATCCTTAATGAAAGGGACATAGATGGAGCTTGGGGAGCAAGAGAAGAAAGTGGAGTCAGTAAAGGGGGGGATGGTTTTACTGGTTTAGGAACCAGTTGCCTAGAACATTGAAAGGAAAAGACAAGCCCATGGACTAGGGTGTCAGGTAGCTAGTCAGCCATGATGGGTGAGCAGRGCAGGGACAAGGAAGGGAGGCTGAAAACTGAGGCTGGCCAAGGCCCTGAAGGATGGGTGAGACTCCCCTCTCACTCCCCCCATAATTTGATGATGGCAGAGACAGTTTGGACCCAGGACCCTGTGGGCTGCAAGTCTCCTAGCCCAATCTTGCCCATCCCAGCTGAGGACAACACTGAGGACTCTGAGGACGTGGCACCTTTGGGAGCACCATGTGTGGCCTGGATGGTGCTCATTGCACAAAGGCTGGCCAGGGCTTTCAAGGCCCATGAAGGCGCATGGATACTCAAGTGCTTGTCCACTTGTTAGGCATCAGAGACGAGCCCACCTGGGCCCTCAGTGACCGCTAAGTGCTGGCTACTGGAGACCACACTGTCCAACAAGGCAAAGGCCTTAGCCACACTGAAGGGTGAGAGAAGCCCCTGAGGAAGGCAGATAGAACCGTTAGCCAACCTCAACCTCTTCCTTCTCTACAACAAAGAACCAGAGAAACATACCCTATTTGGCCACTGGGAAATGCCCACCACCTGTTGGGACGATTTAGTGCCCTTTGGTAGACGAACTGTGTGTATAGTAGGAAAAAGCTGCTCTCAACAATGCCCTTCAGCCCCCACTCCCCTTGCACTAAATACATCTGCTGCAAAATAATTAAGCACAAAGGGGGAGTCTTTAACTCTAGAAAGGACCAGTGAAGCTTAGCCAGTGAGGGGGCGGGGCAGGGAGGTGGTGGGAGAGGACTAGTGGAAAGGAAGGGTTTCCTAAGGAGAGGATGGCACTGTAGTTTGGATCTGGGATGTCCCCCAAGGTCCATGGGTTGAAGGTGTATTCATCAGCCTGTGGGGATCCTGGTAGATGGGGGAACCTTTGGAGGTGGGGCCTAGTGGAGGAAGTTAAGCCATGGGTGGTGTGTCCTGGAAGGGAATATTCAGGACACCAGCCACCTCCTCCTTTGCTTTCCAGGCCACAGTGAGTGAGAATCTTTGCTCCATCACTTACTGCCACCATGATGAACTGTCCTGACACAGGCCCAAGAGCAACCAAAGAGGCCAACCAAGCCTGAAACCTCTGAAACTGTGACCCACGATAAAGGATCCATCCTTTCATGTTGATTATCACAAGTACTTTGTCACAATAAYGGGAAGCTAACTATCATTGGTCACAACTGTRCAGCYCCAGAGTAAAGGCAGAGYRTGGAATAGTTGGAAACTGCAAAAAATTCTATGAGGCTGGAGTGAAGGATTGATATTGAGAAATGGCAAAGGGGGATAGGAGAAAAGGTTAAATCAGGAACTATCTGGTTAGCTCTCAAAAAAGAGATTAATCTTTATCCTAAAAGCAATGGAAAACTATCAAGTCTGATCACCAGAGGGGGGACCCCCTTAGCAGGAATGTAGCTGAACCACTTATTCTAGGCTTTTTGTAATCAGCTGTGCACCTTTGTGTTAGTCAGCTCTTCATTGCTGTGGCCAAATCATCTGACCAGAATGACGAAGAGAAGGAGATTTCCTTTTGGCTCCCAGGTGCAGAGTCGCCATCCATGGTTGACCAGCTCCAGGGCTCTGGACCAGGGATAAGGCAGAGCATCCAACACCATGGAAAGAATCACCTYTTGTGTGTTCATGATTTTTAAATAAAGAAAAAAGAAATAAAAAGTGTGCGTGAGGATATGCAGAGAAATTGGAATCTCATACATTGCTGGTAGGAACGTGACATGGGTTAGGCACTGTGGTTGGTGGTTCTTCAAAAGTTAAATAGAATTATCTTATGAACAACAATTCTATTCCTAAATCTATATATACACAGAACAGTGTAAATAGGTATTCAAGCAAATTCACATACATGCAATTTCATATCAGAACTACTAAAAAAAAACACACAAGGGGGTAAAAATCCAAATTCCCATCRATGGATGAGTGAATAAAACAATTGTGTCATATTTAGGTACTAAAATATTATTCAGTCATAAAAAGGAATAAAATACTGATACAGCCACAATAAGACTCAACCTAGAACACATCACACTAAGTGAAGACACAAAAGGTAATATATTTTATGATTCAGGCTATATGAAATATGCAGAACAGGGAAATCCATGGACACAAAAAGCAGAATCATGGTTGCTAGTGGCTGGAGGGAGGAAGGGATGAGGATTCACGGCTTAGTGGATACAGGTTTTTCTTGGAGGCAATGAAAACCTTTGGGCACACAGTAAAACTTGTGGTTGCACAACACCTTTGAGCCATGTATTAGATGGCTCTGGACTGTGAAAATGTGAATGTCATTGGGATAAAAATATCTAAAAGGAACAACAAAGTTGGTGATGTTCAACAACTAAAAAATTACTACAGAGGTCATATAGGATCAAATTATTTATTACCACACTATAGCATTTAGAATATAATCACAAATCTTGGAGACTTTCAGGCCTAATCCAAACACTAATAACTAAGTAAGCAATGCAACTATCATGGGCACTTATTGTGAAAGTTCAAAGATGTACATCTGATTATGGAGAATGGGAAAACGTGTTGAAGAAGATGACATTAATGGAACTTTAAGGACTAATGGCATGTAATTGTTTGGGTTGGAGGTAGAGAAATGCAATACCACCAGGCAAGGTGTCCTAGCTGCAATGGGGGTACGTGGTAGTTCAAAGCTATTCAACTGTCCAATCTGGTTGTCATAGACACTGTATAAATTGGGAACACATATTAAAGAGCAGGTGTCAAAGGACCATAACTCTACAATGGTGATTGGTGAATGTCAAAGGTAGACAAAATGTTCATTAAAGTTTGTTTTTTTGGTTGTAGATGGACACAATATCTTTATTTTCTTTATTTTAATTTATATGTGGTGATGAGAGTGTAGCCCTAACTTGCTAGGCAAGTGCTCTACCACTGAGACACACCTTCCTTGAAGTACCAGGAAAGCACAGTATAAGTAGAAGGAATTGCATGGGGAATGAGATAGAAATGTGTCTGAGGCCATCTGGGGAAAGTTTGCAAGCTATCCTATGCAATCTGTACTGCACTCATCCTAATACAACAGGGAATCAGGACAGCCTATTGGCCATGACCCTGGTTCTGTGGTACAAATGAGTGGGCAGTATGAGGACAGCTGAGTGTGGTGCATGATGAGATCACACTGGCAAGTTGTTCAGAAGGCTTAGGACCCTGCCCTCATTTTTCCACTTGGTGTTCAACTAAAGGCCCATCCTTATGAACTGTAGTGAAAATTTGGGGACATGGAAAAAGGGAAATTCTCCATGGAGAGGAAGTGCAACCCTTAGGGAGATGAGAACCTGCCACAGAACAGAACAGTGTTGGTTTCATTATGCCTGATGAAGAAAAGGAAGGGGTGGTCAGCACAGAATGTTGGTATAAGTGATAAGCAGAATGGCACTATGTTTACGGCTGTGGCTGCCGCAGCCTCAGTGCCTTCTTCATTCACCTCCACGACACTCCTGTGCACAACCTTGGACAGACACAGGTCTGTCTCAGTTGACATGGCAGACAAGTCAGCCTGGCCCTGTTGAAAGGCATCGACCATTCCCAGATGCTGAAGTACAGACTTCATGTCATAATCCCCCTGCAGTTTAAATCTCGGAAGGAGAACTTCCACTTCAGTATTATGCAAAGAGGCTGTCTTGGTCCAGGCTATGAATTTCTCAAAAGTCAGGTTATTTTCCACCTGAAAGACCAGAATCACAGGTTCATATTCAGACTATGGTGGGTATCGACAGACACACAGACATTTCCATGAACATTCCTTGTTGACTGTCCACATAGGACCAGCAGTGCCTTCAGCTGCCCAGAATCTTGTGAGGGATCTGGCTTGTCCACCACCCCACGTGCTAGCTCATATATATTTATCTGCAGGAAGACTGTGGCTGTCCCTCCTTATCCATCCACTAGTAAGCCATGTTTATTTGTGAAAAGCATCTATGCCTAGTCAGTGGTGCTTTTCTAGTGGTATTTGTTGCTTTGAATGAGGCTTGGTTTTTCACATGGTAAACCATTGCTGGCAAGCCAAAGAGACTGGGCAAAGGAAGGGCTCTCAGTGTGAGCCTCTCCAGGAGAGGGACAAGTGCCTAAGCTGGAATGAGGCACTGTTTGTGGAAATTCATCCTCACAGGTAGGGACCTGGACAGAGGGAAAGCCCATGGGAGCTGCTCTGCTCCCAGTGACCCTTTATGTCATCACAGGGCACTGCCACCATTGAGAGAATGGTTGACTCTCTTGCAATAGGGATCATATCACAAGGAAGCAAGGAGGACAGGGCTGGGCCATTTGGGCTCTTGGGTTGGAGATACTGTGAAAGAAAGGCACAGGTGTGCTCACTTCTCCCCACAGAAATTGTGAGTTCAAAGGAGTGCAGCCCCTCCTAACTCACCACACTGAGGTCCACGTCCTCATCTGGGAGCAGAATGATCATGCTCAGCGTCTTGCCAGCATAGGGCAGCTCCAACACCTGTGTCTGGGCCTCATGGATGTAGACGTAGTTAAAATAGGCTTTTTTCCTCATCATCTGCACTGGCCTTTTCTCCTCCTGAGGGGAATGACCACATGAGCACAGCATTTAAAACAGTATGAAAGGAGAAAGAAAACTCTCAATTCTTCTGTGGTCCAGCACTGCTAGAAATTAATAAATAGTTGTCTGAAACATGCCTTATAAATAAGGGGAGGAGATTAATGCATACAAGCTTCCTTATTGCATTACATGGCATCTTTAGGGTTTACAAAATTAAGCAAAGTATTCTAATATCTGTTTTACTTAAACTTATAGCTCACAGTTAACCAGGGCCGTTGCAGTCATTTTTAATAAGAAGCTGCAGATGCTGAACCAATAATGATAAATTATGAATAACAACAATTCAAGTGTGAGATTATTTTTTTAAATATATATTTAATTGTATTTGGACACAATAACTAGTTTTTTTATTTTATTTATTTTTATGTGGTGCTGAGGATCAAACCCAGAGCCTTGCACATGATAGGCAAGTACTGTACCACTAAGCCACAMCTCCAGTAACTAAATACGAGATTATTTTAATTTAACAAATAATAGATGGAAAATCTGGGGCGTACCTTCATGGTACACCACTTGCTTAACATGCAGAAGCTCTGAGGTTGATCCCTCATTGCACAAAAATGTAAAAACAAAACAAAAATCCTGATTCAAGACATGTGTTTTCATATTCCTTCTTCGTACTCTGTCTCATGGCTGATATATATATTTTACATGCATACATATATCACCTCTTTTTTGCTCTTTATCTAAGCAACTGTTGTCTATAGGAAGATATTTGTGTCCAGAATAAGGTTAAACCAATACATGTAGGATACTTCATCTGAGGCAGTTAGAGTGCTAATAGGCTAGAAACCATAATAGACACCAAGTATTATTTATTCAAATCACTTTTCCACTGAGATTAAAATTCATTAAGAGTGATAATAAGTTTGAAATTATCATTAACCATTTATGCTTTTACAAAGTTAAATTTTCTATTCAATTTCTTCATCAGACTAGCATAATTTTTGAAGTCTCTCCCTACCTGGTTTACTTTGAAAGGCATTTCTTTCGTGCTTGATTTGTTAAATGTCCTCTTCCACGTTCCTTGGAAGTAGATGGCATTGACAAGAATCAGCCTGACCTGCTCATCAATCGAGCCCATTGGTAGCAACTCTGAAATTTTACCTTTTAAGAAAAGCAAAAACACTGTCAGTTACTTTTTTTGAATCTGTGGTGAATAAACATGAAAATGATGTCTTGGAGATCCAAACATTCTGGTTTCAAATGTGCTGAGTTTGGATGATACGTATAAAAGTAAAAAATCCCAGCTATGAGTGGTATTCATGATGGCAGACACTGGAAGAGCCACCAAGTTGAAGATAGTGAAAGACTTCTATGTCACTGGAGGAAAGCAGGTTGGTAAAAAGCAGAAACTTGACTCCAGGTTGGAGAAGAAGACAAGCAGCAAAGCAGAGAGGGGCTGGGTAGGAGCTGACATTACCTGCTGTGGGTAAGAGGAGCGTCAGGTCTAAGACCCTGTGGACAGGCCCAGTTCTAACATTGTACAGCTACCTGCAACATTACTGAGGCACACAGAATTG